CGTACCTACGCGAATGGAAGGATAATTAATAAAGGCGCTTTTACATTCCCTCTGTTGTCGGCGAAGTGATTACGATGAACCTTTAGTTTTTCAGTTTCCCCAATCTGATTGGTGGAATAAAGTACCAAGCTGCATTTGCAAAAGCGAAGGCCATCCACGTCCTTTAAAAAGGTGCAAGTTGAACAACGTCTCTATTCTACACTCAATGTGCATCAGAGAACGCTGGCCAGAAAACTGTTCTGACCTTTCTGTATTGCCCGAACATTCCAAGTGACACTGATAGAACGATTTCATAACAACCTTCAGTTATCCCTCAACTTAAAGACGAACACCCAATTTTCCCTATCCTTTACTTGCTTATTAAAATACATAAGCTTATTTAAACGAATGACATTACGTCTACGAACCCATGATCATTTAAAATTAGACCTATCATCAGTTTCACAGGCGGGCCAACGGGTAGAATAACGTGTTTCCTAAACATACCCTGAGCCAGTTGCTAAAATTCATTCCAACCCGTTTACCTAACGCCAGCAAAATATTTCTAGACCACCAACAGTGTGCGTAACCAAACAGCACGTAATGGAGCCATTCGATGTTACTTAGCTCTACACCAACGTTTTGAATGACTCCTCAAATCAAGCCATTCTCGAGCTTCTCTCGTAGAGCACGAAAAGAAAATAAAAAAGTACGGTTTGTTGATTACACAACTAATGACTCTTCTAAAACAGTGTCTTAGTTGTCCAATCTTTAGGTGGTCTGGAAAATAATTTGCCTAAATTAAAGGGGTGGCCATTGGACAGCGTTTAACACCAACTCTTGACGTCGCTTTCATGTCTAAGGTGGAAGCTGCAGTTCTCAATCGGTGACCCTTACTTTATTGGCGATGCATAGACGACAACTTCATCGTCTGTTCCACACAAGAACAGATGCACGAGTGCTTTTAATTGCTAAACCGGCAGTCAGAGTATATAAAATTTACACGGGAAAGGCCAACCAAGAACAGGCTTCTATTTTTAAACATCCAAATAAAGCTCTTAAAAAGAGGGTATGTAACAAAATACTATCCTAAGCCAAATAGTTAAAACATCCTAGTTCACACTAGCTCTCCTCTCATCCTTATGTACCGCAGAGCTAAATATGTGCGCACAGAAGAAGAGAAAGGATGGAATCGCTAAACCTGGCACGAAAAAGAGCCATTTCCAATGGCTACGAAGCCGGAGCCACTCGGGTTAGACAAAAACGTAGGGTAGTTCTCCAAAATAATGTTTCAAACGTGAATAAGATTCCTTTTAAGCTACCCTTCATACCAAATGGAATAAGTTACGCCACTAAGAAGTGCTTAAGGAAAAGTCTTGAAAACTATGCAGCGATTACTGGCCTTCCACCCAATACCCTACCCCGTCAGTTAGTCCGCAACCGTCTTCATGATCGTTTGAGCAGCTCAAAAAACTGCATGATCTGTGCTATCGGGAGAGACGGGGATTGCATGTGTTCAGGTACAATATACTTGATCTCAGGTAACGCATGCGATGAGGAATATATTGGGGAAACGAGTAGACCACTTTGTATCCACATAAAAGAACATCTGGATGGGAAAGTTGAAATCCGTCTAAACACTCCTCTAAGTACGCATAGGGCACAAAGGTACAACGGCGATGATTTTGAAGTGACTGTGCGGATCCTAGCGCAGGAATCGAAAACATCAACGCGCAAGACTCTTGACACGTTTTGGATAGATTTCAAAAAACCAAAGATGAACCGGAAGGACGAATGCCTCACTATCACACATGACCTGGCGCCTTATTTCGAAATGATATTTTGACCCCTCGGTGTGTCTCGCTCGCGACCCCACGTGAACAACGCGTGGACCAGCTTCACTCGTAACATCACGGTGAGTAGCCTTTCTGATCAATATGGTGACTATTTAAAACTTCGATTTTCATTCATACTTTAGCCTTTTTCTCCACCGAATAATTAAAGTATTCTTGCATAAAATATGTTCAGACTCTGAGAAAGGCGAAAGCGCCGGGACGTCAGCCATCGACCAACAACAGCAACAACGACGGCAACGACAACGAAGACCTATATCAACCTCGCATTGGCTAAAGAAGAACAACCACAACGTTGCTGAGATATTTGCAAAAATCTGGACCGCAGGTGTCTATGGTGGAGAACGAACGCGCTATTGTCCTTTCCGGGGAGTAACGCGTTCATCACCACACCATGTGGGTTCTTCGTTTCGCCTGTCTCTCAGCTAAATAAAAGGTTACAATTGTGATTATGACTGTAGCCTCAGCTTAACTGGGTTCAATGCCAATTTGGGCTCCCCAGATCATTCCCCTTGACGTGTGATTGCTGATTGCGAATGATCGATAGAACTTTAAAGGAGAGAAGAACAGTTTATAAGATCATAAAAATAAGTTATTAAGGGTTTTCATAACACTTGTGAAGGGATGGAAGCGATATACAATCAGCACAATCAGCACCGAAAACGTAAAGAAGTAGTAATAGTTAAGACCTGTGGCATGAAAAATGTTTGAGAACACTCTCTGTATTTATTGAGTGCATCGAGCCATCTTCGGAAAACGTCGCTTAAGAGCCTTTTGTGTGTGTGTTTTTTTAACATTATCGATGCGTCTGAAGGATCGGCCCATGCTTCTGCTACATAGCATAGCGTTGGAATAATCGTTGGGTTAAATATGAGGGTGTAAGTCTGTGGATCAAAAAGCCGATAAGTGGGCTCTGTGGGACGTCCGAGTGCAGCTCATACTGCTCATTTTTTTCTACAGTTTCTCTTAAATCGCTATTATATTCATTGAGCAACGAAGTTAATACGTTAGGTGAGATATTCTCAAATGGCGATCTATTCAAGAAAATGTTCCATTTCACACCAGGTGTCCTTCATGAACTGGGTTTCTTTTGGTTTATTTGTAACATAATTTTTATCTGCACTTTGTTGGACTCCAGAAAATTTTCGTTCAACTAGATGATGTTTGAAATGGAAAGAACGATTGAATCGTTTGGTGTTGATCAATAACTGAAGGATGTGTCATGTACTGAATCCAGTTCGTCTCATCGTAGAGGCTATTGCATACTTGTCTGGCCTTGCACATTGACTTGAAGTGGCCCACCAGTGCATGGGATCACTGTTCCTGCCTTTCCAGGCAGGTCTGGTACCGATGCCATGTTTCCGAACTCGCAGAAATTGAGGTTTGTGAGGTCGAGGCGTGATATAGCGTCACCCTTCGTTCCAGTGCAAGGCACCTCTAACTAGTGAGTTTTATGAGCCACAACGAGATTAAGGATATTTAGCCAGCTCTCGCCGATTTGATTCGTCTGATGTCGTTGATATGCAGAGAGGGATAACTTGCATGAAGCCATTGTCGAGTGCACTCAACAAGATTTAGAACCACAGTTATGAAGATTCCTTCGATCACCTTTCCTGGGTGGGATGATTGTGAGCGACGCCATCCACTGTTTTGTGATTTTTGCCCTTTTATTCGACGATGTATATAACGATATGTTTTGCGAAAACAATAAGTAGTTTGTCGCTTCCAGCTCGATGGAAGACTTTTGTATTATTGATGTTAATATATGAATATTATGATTAATATTGTGGGGTTCTAGAGCTGTGCCTTTTTCCGCGCTTTCTATAGCAACTTGAACCCTAGAGAGAGGAATTCCATGTGGTTTTTTCTCTAGAGATATTTTCGGTTCTGCGTTGAGTCTTGAGATTAGCGTATCTGTAGCTTTCCTCAGGTCGCCACCACCACATGCCGTCGCCATCCTTATGGATCAGAAGGAGATTTACCACAATTTGGCTAATTTGATACCATGAAAGCAGTTATTTCTGGTATTGGCTTACTTCTGGATAAGCTTCCAGATAAAGGCGTTGGAGTTTTTTTTTATTTAAGAGACTATATTTGAAATATGAACCCCTCTTTATACATCGCTCTCCACTGCCCAAGAACAGCTGCTAGCCACGATGAGCCGGCAAACCTCTGGGAGAAGTTATTGCTATAGTGCTCAGTAAAAGCAGTTAATCACTTTTTATGAGACTACAGTCAACTAATGTTGACCGCTTTCCTCTTATTAATAAGTGTAAGTGTAACTAGTGTTCGACGTTTTGCATTGTTTTAACTTATTGCTTACTGCGTACTCTTTTTAACGGTGGGGTATATATTGAGAAATATAACTTCAATGATGTTGAGATATTTGCAAAACTCCGGACAGCAGATGTCTGCGGCGGGGAACGAACACGCTATTGTCCTTTCCGGATAGTAACGCATTCACTACCACACCATACGGGTCCTCCGTTTCGCCTGTCTGTCGGCTAGGTCTATCGATCTTTTGCCATCAACAATCACCCGTCAGCAGGATCGATCTAGGGTGCCCAAATCGGCATTGAACCCAGTTAAGCTGAGGCTTAGTTATAATCACAATCTTAACTCTTTTATTTACTGCTTTTTTCTTTTTAATGGCAAGGTATGTTGCGAAATATAACTTTAGTGATGCATTAAGCTTAACTGGGTTCGTGCCGTTTTGTGCCCCCCAGATCAATCCCGCTGACGGGTGATTGCTGATGGCAAAAGATCGATAGAACTAGCTGAGAGACAGACGAAACGAAGGACCCGCATGGTGTGCTGGTGAACGCCTTACTCACCGGAAAGGACAATAGCTCGTTCGTTCCCACTGCAGTTACCTGCGATCCGGAGTTTTGCAAATATTTAAGCATCATTGAAGTTTTTCATTGAGTTTTCATGCATATTTGACCAAGAATGAAGTTAAGCCTACACTCATTCTCAGCCCCATGCTTTGCGCTTCCCACCGCCAATACTACCTATCCTTTACCGTCTCGGCATTTTTATTTGTCCTTTTCTTCTTTATTCGTTGGATACAGCGGGAAAAATAACAATGCACACGTCGTTTTCAATTCTTCACTTCCACTGCTACAAATATATAAAAATGATGATCAAGAGTTTTTTGACACTCTAGTTTTATCCAGCCGTGTTTCTGACCATGTGATATCCGTATAGGGCGTTTCGATCAAAGCAGGCAACAACGATGTTACTTCCGCGACTGTTTGTGAACTGAGCCCCCATTATTGCACAATTCGGGAGTTCATCACAATACCGATATTCCACCTGAAATGTTAAACTTTCATGCGAAATGAAAAATAGACGTGACTTTCAGTCATCTGAGACGCTGGTCACGTTTGTACCATTACGTTCCTTCAAATGATTTCATCTATCCTTTTGCTCAACTCTGAACAAGGACTACAAAAGAAATGTCACTGACAAGAAGAATACCACTTGTAATGAAAATACTAATTATAACAATAATAATGGTGACAACATTAACAGCAGTAGTAGTGAAAGTGTCAAAAAATGAAAGTAGAGTTTGTTAGACAAGCGCTGTATGCAGCGAACGGGAAATTGAGTTTTCATGTCATACATGTTAGATAGCAGAATTTCGTGTTCATAAGATATTTTCGCGATTTCGGCTTCAATTCACCTTAGCCCTTGAGAGTAACATGGCGTCTAGTTTTTAAGCGTAGGAAATTTGAAATATTCCACTTGTGAACCTTTAGTAAACTCAGTAAAAGGCAAAATATTATCCACAGCTAGTGCTGCTTTGCCTCTACATTTCTCACTACACTGAAGAAAATCCCTATGTACAGAATTCTTACGTAGATGTCCGTGGTGCTGTGCACTGTAAATTCCGTTTTTGCGAAGAAAAAACAATAAGACTGCGAATGTTGGGCTCAGTATTCACTTGAAATGTTTGGGCTTTCATCATATGTAGCTTGTACACGATAAACCGCCCGTCCTCAGATCCAGTTAAGACATAAGCAGCTTCAGGTGCAACAGAAACACATGTCACAGATCTTGCGTGTGCGAAGACCTGTAATGGTAGAAATTCTGGAAAAACTTTACTTTTCATCAGCTTTTTTTTACATCGTTTTCCCATTCTCTATTTATTTCCTTCGTACCTTCTAAATTGCACATGAGCAGATATGTTCAACCTAAGGGGATCAGAAGTACAAGTAGCGCAGTGGTTTGAAGTGAGCTACAATACAAGCATGGACAATAGTACAATCCCTAACCCCTGTTCAGTCAAGTCATTCATGCTTATACCACGCAAACTGCTATACCCTTGTGCTCGACGGATTGCTGCCACTCTTGTTTTCGAAGGCAAAATTTTTTTTCAAAAAAGAAAAAAGATAAAATCAAAGAAAGAATGCAAAGGCTTTTCACAGTGTTAACTTCTTATTTGTTGCGTATTACGATTTTTCACGGTACGGTATTATGTGTGATACAACCACAATGATGCTGAAGTATTTCCTAAACTCCGGACCGCAGGTGTCTGCGGTGGGAAACAAGCCCGATATCACACTTTTCGGGAACTAACACGTTCGCCACCACACCAAGCAGGCCCTTCGTTTCGCTTATCTCTCAGTGAGTTTTCTATCGATCACTGCCATCAGCAATCATTCGCCAACTGGATTGATCTGGGGGCCCAAAACGTCAGTGAACCCAGTTAAGCTGGTGCTATAGTCGAAATCACAGTGTAATGTTTTTTATTTACGGCCTATTATAATTTGTTTAAAGTTATTCATTCCACACCAATAGGATCGGTAGGCCTCCCGCAAGTCAAAAACCTAACGTGCGTTCAGCCACCTTCGCAAGGCATAAGCGAAGCTACTCGCTAGTGTTCATGACTCAGTTTGAATCTGGGCAGCTTGGTGTCGTTGATCCCAGGACGCCAACGCGTTAGTACATGTTTTTCCTCGCTTTCTCTCGCAAGAATGGCTACAAAATGGGTACATTGTCATTCGCCATCTATCTGAGTTCACAGACCTCAGCAATTAGTTCGCCTGTAGAAATCGAAAAGAACAGCACGCGTCCACGAAGAGTGCCCACGATCACTTGCTTGTGTAGCACGTTGACGACAGTTATTGGATGCCTTAATAAAATGATGGACTTGCTTCCTCGCTTTTTTTCTTCTTTTGATATCTTAGCCATCAGCACTTTTTCTAATATCTGTAAAATCACTGCGATAAAGCTTACTGCGTGGCCATTTTCAGTTGTACTCCTTTAAAGCATTTGTTCCACACAATAATTGTTCCCGAGCAATCACAGGAACAAGTGACCTCGTTGTAACGGCAAGTAGCCATATCAGCTATGCTGGCAGAATGTCCCTAAGAGCCAAGTCATTTCTCTAGAAGAAAACTTGAATGTAGTTTAAGACTTCACTTTACAGTGTGATTTTGGAGAAAAGATGAAAAGCAGCAAGAAAAAGAAAATAAGAAAACTACGAGAGACTATTAAATACTATCTATGACAAATATAACATCCCTATATGGCCCACCGTTCTATTGTGGCCTCAGTTGTTTCTGATTCTCGAGCTGTGGTGATACAGCAAGAGAGCATCTCCCGGAGAAGATATCACATTTTGTTAGCTCGAAATTCCTATCCAAACCTTTAGCTTTGAGTAGATTTATGCCACAGAAGGGCACCATTACACGTGGCTAAACCGTTTCATCTAAAGGGGTGTAGCGAATGCAGAATATACTGGCACTGGCTTGAGTTACTCTACGATTAGCGTAGAGAATAATATTGAGTTAGCGTTATGTGATAAAATAGTGTAGCACAACGCCACATTGTATAGGCTATTGCACCATTAAATGATCTCATTTTCACTTTATTCAGGCAAATTTTTCTAGGAGAAGTCGAACGACTTTCTGAAGTTCTACTCTCACTTTCTAACGCTTGCTGTGCACCAAGCACGTTAAACCTGTAGCTTGAGTCAGAGTAACAAAATATTCTCTAATGAGATGCATTACAATTCCATTACTGGAAGTTGCTTTAGTATTTCGAGACTATATTTTTAAGAAACTACGCACTGATATCAGTCAGTTTTCGGAAAAACTTTTCACGTTTTTCACGTTGAAGATTTAGATTTTTTCTCTCCCACTAGTTTTCTCCTCAAAGTAGTGATTGTCTCAGAAAGAATCCAAATGGATTCCGGATCTCAACGGGATCCATGAATTGTTTTTGCATCAAAAACTATTCCCAGTTGTAGTAATCAAGTTGTGAGAAGTCACTTATATTACCGCAATTGGTTTTGTTAACAACAGAAGTAGATTTTTTTAAACAATAGTTTAAAGGGTAGTGGTTAAGAAGACATAATAGCATAAATTATGGCTAAATAACTGTGCAAATACTTTTCGAAAATGTGTTTATAAGTGTCTGAATGTTCAGTGATAAGAAAGTGTAGTCAAACTTCTTGAAGATGCCATTGATAGGTGATTAAACTCCCATTACACGTCGACAGGAGAAAGAATCCGAAATACTAAACTTCGTTGACGATTGAAATTCAGCTGGATAAGATAGCTTGTGTAAGGGAACTGTCGCAAAGAAGCAATCGAAGAAGCTCCCATTTTGGATGAGGTCCACTAGATGTGAAGAGAACACCAGTATGTCCAGTGACTCAGTAACTAGTCTACTTCACGGAAGGTTTAATGGAATTTAATGCTCTTTACATCCCTTAAGTGACCAGTAGGAGCCAGTTAAACCTCCTATGTGGGAATATAAACGTTGACTCAAGAGGCGTCCACTAGACTTACTAAATGTTTGCACGGATGACAGATGATTTAGTACTATTATATTCGCCAAAGTCTCGAGATATCACTCATAAAGAAGGGTAACTAAAACTCAATCTAAACCAGACTCAGTGGGTTGAACCCTTACACAATAGAGAAACATAGGTGCTATTTTTGTCTACATGTTCTACAACCTCGTGAAATGAAACTGAATTCGCTTTAAGAGGGCGGTAGAAGATATGCACTAATTAAACATACCCTTAAGCATTTCTTCGTCACTATCGAGGTTTCACCATTGCACTGGAACTGAATAATACGCCCAGATGATGTTCCTGTACTATTATCAGCAAAATTTTTATGAAATACGCACAGAGTATTCAATGTCTTACCAACTAAGATAAAATTATCGTTCCAGGTTATTCCACGACAAAAGCTGTTCCACAAAAGGCTCCTGTCTGTCTCCTAAACCGAGGGATTAAAAAAAACAGAGAAAAATCAATTTGGGAATGTCAATCCATCTAGAAAATTACTTGTCAATTTTATGAACTTCCAGAGGCATCGTACATAAGGAGTAAAAAATTAAATAACTTTCAAAGGCATTTGTTAAGAGAAATATGAGTGCAAAACAAAGCAACGACCGCAATCGGAAAAAATTTGATGCTTTTAGCGTTGACGAAATCACATTATGTGTGCCTTGGCATCCGAATGCACCGTGAAGGGATTCATTTGCGTTAACAAAATGGGTTTTTCCCTGAGTAGTGATGAATACACTGGGGCGAAATTTAGAGTGCATTCATTATTGGAAAAAGTAGTAAAGTTGTAGTAGTCCAAATGTAAGTAAACAGTAAAGTAGTGTAAATGATTGACAAGCACAGTTATTTTGCATTATGCGGCGATGTTCCTTTACTTTTTCGTAAAAGTAAAATCAGTAGTTTTGCAAAATCAGGACAAACCAACACTCGTTTCCTTATCTATGCCTTCTTGATGAAGGAGTTTCCGCGTTCGTATATCAAAAATCTGGGCACCGGTCGTTGTTCCGACAACCAATAACGGAAACGTGCGAATATTTGGGAACACTATTGCCGCCTGAGGAAAACTTTTTAAACTGAGAAAAGATCCAAGAAGTCAATCCAGTCTCCGAAAGCACTGAATTGAACTTAACTTGTATAGCAGTTTGATTAATTCAAATTTTAAAACTACATGATACCTTATGAAATTTGGGAATTGCGTTCGAATAAAGTATCATAGTTGTGCACGCCGTCACTAGTGCAACCATGACCACTAGAGCAGCAGCAATCTATGTCGATGAACCACAAGCATTTTCCCAGGATCGACTTCCTATTAACCTCGGCATAGGAATATGAATGTGTCGTTTTCTCGTTCAACAATCGCGAGGTTTTTAAACAGCATACATTTACTTCCATAGAAAAACACAATACAATACAACACTAGCTGACGTTTCGGCAGTATCGCCTTCTTCAGAGCCTGGAAGGCTTCACTGATATACAATCTACTAGGCCAAACGCTTCAATAACACTTACAGAAAGACGAAAAAACTCTATGGCAATTACATGATCAACAACTTCTCAAAAAACTCACCGCTTTTTACGTGACTTCCAATGAGGAAGTTTAGAACAGCTGATTATAGTCACATATGGTTGATGACTGCACCATCCCACATCAGAAATTGATGCGAACATACGGGTTCAGGTCGCGCGTGACCTCTGGGCATTCCTCTCTGCTATTCATTTTAGGGTTTTTGGCGTTTATCCAAAAAGTCTCAAGAAGTTTTCGCGCTGATGTTTTAGTCTCCTGTGCAAGGAACGTCAGATAGTGTTGTATTGTATTGTGTTTTTCTATGGAAGTAAATGTATGCTGTTTAAAAACCTCGCGATTGCTGAACAAGAAAACGGCGCACAAGCATTTTGTTCAACTGCGAAAACTACAATCGCCTACTTTTCGTAGTGATCCAGGTTATGGGCCATGAGATAATCAGCTACTACACAAACACCGATACACAAACACCGATAGTAGGATGGTCTATCTTCACTGGTTATGCGTGCCCCAGCATAGCTTCCACTGTTTCGGAGTTTTGCTGGCCTAGCCATTGTGGGTCCCTAGAGTCCCGAAAACAGCCAGGCCAAAGTGTCGGTCATCACCACCACAAGCAGTCGCAGTCTTAGCGGATCAGAGGGAGATTTGCCGCCATGTGACTAATCTGATACCAGTACGGTGGTAGTTTCGGTTTACTGGGTTTCCTGATGGAAACGCGGGACTCCTTCTTAGCATGAGAGGCCATGATGGTGTTAATCCCCCGTTGTGCATCGCAGCCCGATACCGAGGAACACCTCTCAGCCTCGATGAGGCGGTAATCCGCTGGCGGGCAAGCGAACTTGATTCCTATTCACTGGCGCCATAGAGGTGCAGCGTAAGATAAGGGTGTGTCCGAAAACTGCGCGCATAACACTGTATCACATTCATTCCCTAACCATTTATACAATTATCAAACAACAGCTTTTCTCATAATAAACGGTAGCAACGACACACCTGGAGCGCATCCACTGGTTTGTCCGTGCTTGTGTTTAAAACGGTGATACTATCCCAACTCACGTTTTCCTTCTTGTTATCCCAGTTCACAATATGAATCTAAAATTATATCGATTAAAATCTTTTAACGACCTCCTATGCAGCATTTTCTTAAGCATATTCAACTGGAAATAAGTTGAAAAAAAGTGACTTGGTGGCAACGCTGATAAATAAATGAGTAACTTGAGAAAAGAGTAAGTGACTGTTAACGGAACAATCCTTGTTGACGCATTGCAACATGCAAAAAGGTGCAGAAATTGTGATGTTGTTTACTGATTATAAAGCAGGATTTTGAGTCAGGTTATTTGGCAGTGAATCTGTGGTTTACCTGAGTTTTATGAGCAACACAAGCATATGTGATGTTTTTGCTCTCTAAACAGCAGACCGACAAATTGCTTGGATAAGCCGATATGCTTCCAACTGCTAATTTCATGTCATCATCACGTTCGTACATCACGGCAGCTATTCGGCGGTTTTTAGTACGCTTGCTTTCTTTAACGTTGGAGTTGCAGATGTGAGATGGACACTAAATTGAACATGATATGAGACACGTATCGCTCACCTATAAAATTGGAGTCGTAGGAAAACTGCCTGGAAAAACTCTATCATTTTTCTGCCGAGAACTGACAAAAGTTCATTATCAGGAAAAAAGGCTGCGCTTGGAAAACTCTATTTTTCCAAAGAAAGAAGTGTTCTTGGCATGCAGAATACTAGCACATCAAAAAATGAACGCCAGCAAACACAGGCGCGGTTACAAAAACATTTGTTACTAACAAATGATATAGAATGCGACAAGGATGGATGAAAACTTGCCATTCGTGCGAATTTAAGGTGAGAAAAATAACAATTTGTATCTCTGCAAACCCGTTGACATGGATATGCGCGTATCCATGGACACGAAGTGGGCGTGGTGCTAGCTGGTGCAGCGTAAAATATATGTCTCATATTTAATGTTATAGATTCCTGCAGATCAACAACGAAATTTTTTAGTTCAAATCGATTAGTTAGTGGTTCCAATAAAACGAGGCATGTTTTAATTCTCGAATCATTTTCATATCAGGAATCTCAACTCGGTGGTTCGTGGAAGGCCATTTAGTGAGGCCACGTTTCTAAAAAGGAGCTTAAAGCCAGACTGAAACGGAGGTGCCATGAGACGTTCTGTATTTCTGGGTTGACCTTCCATTCTCTCTAGTCGTGCATTGCTGCACGTACACTTCCTGTTCATGCTGCAAGGGCGTGTGTAGCGGAGTGGTCGGAGTCGTCCTGCAATACACATGGGATCGTTCCTCGCTTACGCCGGTAAGCTACCGCGAGTCATTTTAAGGGAAAGATATCCATTCAGTTGACTCCAATGATGCTTATTGAAGTCGAATGAATGGCGCATCCCTGAAGGGTAAATCAACACCGAGTTTTATGCTTCCTATTCATACATGCATGCAAAAGTGCATTTGAATGCGAGGTGTTCGACCACATCAAAATTCCTCAAAGTTCCACATTGAGCAGTATGGATTCGTTGAAGGCAATTCAGGGTTTTTTCTTACCAATTCCGACGTATCCCAGCACCCTGCCTATGATTGTACTAAAATAGGTAAAGAAGGTCTTCTGAACAACTTTACATTACAAGCCAGGGAGTTCGTTGGAGAGAAACAAGAGTTTAAGTCGTCATGACATGCTCGAATTCGTAATGATTTTCAAAGTTGTCCATGGTGAATTGCAGATCCGAAAGCAACCTTATGGTTGGCGGTTGTTAGAATTTTGTGGTTGAGACTGCTTTACCAAAATTAGCTTCTTGAAACGAATGTTTTGCGCAATTAACAATTTCACAAGACGCTACATCGAGAAGACGAACTACTGCAGACCATAGACTCGGGCCATCGGCGCTGATGGAGACGAACGTGTCGATATGTTAGAAGAGTAAATCTATTTACCAATCTCTTGTTAGCTCAGCAATTTAAATACATATTAAGGAAAAGAATTCTCAAGCTATAAAGAAATAAAACTTTTAAATTTTTTTGATTGCGTTTTCAAAGATACTGTCACCCAACGTTATAAGGTTGCAAATGATTAAAAAACACTCGTTTTCGAAATCTTGGAGCAAAAGCCAGCAAAGAACTGTGGTTATCGCAAGTCAAAATCAACTTTTGCATGAGTTTGCAAAAGTGCACAAAAAAATTGAAAAGAAAGCCCTTAAGAAGGGACGACAACATCACCTGAGGTTGAAAAAACAGGTAGGTTCTAAATCATAACCAGAACTTCAATGAAGAAGAGTATTCGCGATTTCTTTTTGACAGGCATATCCATCTTTTCTCATTTCGCTTCAAAGAGCATGATTTACTTTGGTCATTCTAGACAAAGTTGACGGAACGGCAGATGAAGGAGAAAGCATGTGAGCAAAGAATATTTCGAAAAAGGTTAAATTTGATTCTCCGAATGGTTACGAAGTTCATTGAGGTGTCAGAGTCGATTTGGTTGTTGTGTCATTTTCACATAGTCATTTAGTGTCTACAACGAAGAAATCACAGCATTCGTGCTTCTTGACGCTATACATTCTTATGAATAAATCTTATGAAAACCTATGAATAAAGGCACGCTTTGCTTGTAGCACAGATCCTCGATACTGCTATAACAACTCGCCTGTAGACGAAGGAAAGTACGAACGAATATAGAGATAGATCTTTATTGCACAATATTCTTTTTCACGGAGTAACAACGCATTTCTGACTTCATCGGAAGAAAATAGCGCTGAAAACCTAACCTTCCATGTGTCAATGCTAACGCCACGGGTGCATTTTTCAGTTTTTCTTTCTTGCACACAGGCGTTTTCGGTAAGTTTTTAAGGTCTTCTAGTGGTCATATTCAAACTCATTAAGGCATGAGAAATGTTTTCTCCAGCATAGCTTTCAGGTGCTTCGAAGCATATTGCCACAAACAAAATAGATGTCTTCGCAATTATTATCCAAGGAAAATTGAAGTTGAATGAAGACAGGATCCCAGTTTCCTTCTTTCGTTTTATTTTAGACCTGTAAATCATGAACATCATTCAAAACTATAAACGTCTAGTAATAAAATCTTCCCTGACAAGAACGAGGATCAAGGAGACGGAGGTTATACACTTAGAAGAAGAAGTGTTCATTAATTTTAGAAAGCAGCGTTGAAATTTCACCTATCTTTCAGATCGAATTTCAGTTTACGAGGAAGTATTGTGCCTTTTGATTTCACCGTTTTGTTAATTACGTCAAAAACGATCCTGCGATGTAAACGACTCTAACATTGTAACAAACAACGCAGTTCAGATATTTATGTCCACAATCCTAGGAATAGAATGTATGTTATTATGAAAAAAGGTCCTTTCGCTGCTTGTTTTTTAAACGGTACAGAGTTCTTTGCAGTTGACAGATCCCAAGCAAACAGAAATAACGCAAAAGATCCACATTGTCAACCGATGTTGTGTCTTCAATTGCTTTATTTATCGATAAGTTAACGTTAAGTTGGCAAAACTCTTTCGCGTAGTCGCTTATAGTCATCTTAGAAGCCGCACTGATTCGACTCGAGTGACCAGAGCGTAAGTACATTCTGCTACGTTTTCGCCAACCAGCCGACATTGAATCCAATTCGATTGCAGAGGAACATGGCACAAGTAAAGTGATCCCATCTGCCGGTGTAGTATACAGCGCGATTTCAGGATTATCAATTCTCATGCTGATAAGCGATCCTGTACCAGTCGAAATTTTATTGGGCGACACGTTTTATCCAATTTCATTTTTTTATTCTTTATTATATGACTTCCATAACATGTGTCACACTGCGCGAAACCCATCACTTCGTGCTTTCGATTCATTTCCTAGCACCCACCATCCATGGGGTTTTTTGAACCATTCTTTTTGCCCACGGCTCCCGCTGCTAGTTGATCTTTTCTTCTTCGACACGTTTGCCAACGAATCCTGCTCAAACCAATTCTCCTTGAAATACTGAGATAACCATGCCAAGGTATTCTCAAGGGTAGTGGGCATGTCCTAGATGAGTCTAGTAACAATTTCGCGATCCCGCAGGTACGAGAGTTGTGGTATACCCAGGTTGCCCAACAGCATAATGACCGGCTCAGTAGCACTAATTTATGCGCTCCCTGACCGATATTACTTGATAGACATCGGAATAAAAAAACCTTTAAAAATGTTGAATTGTTTGAAGAAATCAAGAAAAAGGCCTTCCCGTTCTTGCGAGCTATTTAAAAAGCCACAAATACGTTGACACTTGTTCATGTTTCTGTTGTACTATTTTCTTCCTTATAGATCGCCTCTATTTCTCTTCAGTCAAAGAAATATATCTTACATCTTATCGAGCCCTGTGTCGCCAACTGTGTTTGAAAAATGGTGTGGAAATTGACGAAAAGATTAGAGTGCACAGCACCAAACTAACCATTTATTTCAATCCACAATGACATAATAAATAGAAATTACGAACCTGAAAAGTAGGTATATACGCATGGAGAATCGTTTATTAAAACGGTGAAGTAATCGCTGAGCTTGTAAGGATATTCACACTTCACAAACATTTATAAATAGAATTTTCGAATTATCAAATTAAGAGGAAGTAGCTAGTCATAAAATACTCTGCAAAGATCGCTTTTCAAATTCCATTACCATAACAGATTGAGTTCATTCCCTCATCAAATAAGGATTTTCAACGGTTGCATAGCATTCTACAATTGAATTTCAAAAAATATCAAACTAGTTTTACTTCTCGTCAGTTTCTGAGCGCTGAAGTGGGCTACGAGAACGTGATGGAGAAAGAAGGCCCTGCTCATCCAAATGCTTTCGCGTCAGATATCCTCTATAATAACGCGTGTCACAGAAGACCGAACTGTTATACGTCCATAGCTTTTGAAAAAGCTACAACTTGTTCTAAAATGGACAAAAATTTTTATGGTCGCCACAAACCTGATATGAGCTTGAATTTTTGTAGCTGCTTCTGTGTCTTCTTTCTTCATTTTTTCAACGTGTTTCCTTGCCAGAAAGCCTCTTATTTCGGCCTGGATCTTTGTTGCAGCTCGATCTTCTGGAGAGTCGAAGTTGATAGCGTAGCCACCCACGGAGTGTCGTCTAGTACGATACAGATTTCTTGATCAAATGTAAGAAAGCATATGGAAGAGAGAATATGAGTAAAATGGAACATACTTCAGGTCTTTTTTGTTGTTAAAAGAATCCACTTTTTCACTTGACTGCGTTCTTGAGATAACCTTGCTCACGCCAAACTTTTCTGGATGAGCACGTACCTAAAACAGACGCTGCAACAACCAAACGCCAAAATAACTCAAAAGCATAGCATACACTTTTTGAATTCAAAATTATCTATATGTTAAAGTAACTGAGTTGCTTTTTATCAATTATGAGATGTGAAATGTAATGGGATAACTAATGATTTCAATAACACCTTGATTGCCCGGATTTTAGTGGGAATACTATGAACCTACAAGCTAAAATCGGTACTCTATCAATAATGATAAAAGGCGAAAGTACAAAAAAATTTAAAAACTATAGAGTGTAGTAGAGGTATAGAAGCGAAAGGAAGCAGATAATAAAGTGGAAAAAGTTACTGGGTTTTGTTGAGCAGTACGAATTTGAATCGATTCATGCATGAGAAAGCTTTTGGTGGAAGGAAACGGATTAAGCGCAGCGGCACATGCGTCGAGCCGTCAAGCATATACTTGATGCCGATGGTGAGTAACATGCTGATTCAGCATCTGTCTGTCATCAAATACTTACGAAGAAAACAAAAGCTCTTAAGAATAAACGCTTCGAAAAAGTTTGAACTAACAATATGCCTCCAATAAATTCTAAATGAAAAGCAATTAGATCAAAAGTTAACCAAGAATCGAATCACAGTAGGCTTACTTACTGTCGATATTTACCACTAAAAAGGTCAAAAATGTAACGATTACAAAAATCCACATGGTGATTTTGATAAAACTCTGCATGAAACGAAAAAAAAGCCTTTATCGAAGCGAAAATCCAGCCCTCATATCCCAAAAGAAGAATAAGAAGAAAGTTGGAGACATCTCGATGAATCGTCGCAATATCCAAGACGTACAGAAGGAAATAACAAATAAATTGAACTAAAATATAAGTAAATAAATATATAGACAGAATATAATAGAAAAAAGGTCGATTGCTGGTGGCACTGGTAGATGGAGAACTAGCTGGAAAAAACGCAGAGCAAGGTGCTCCGTGGAGCATTGTGCAATGTGCGAGCCCCCTGGAAGGGGAAATCGCGGTTCGATCTGACCCGGGGTCCAAATTTTGCAAATATCTCAGCATCGTTGCAGTTAAATTAAGCAGTATAACTTAGTAAATACCTAAGTCAAATGTTTCTGATGTATTTACATCTGTAAACCTCACCATTTAAAGCTTCTTTTAAACCCCAAAAATACCTCAACTCCTGCTGTTTATCATGTTTTTTTTCGATTTGATATTATAATCACACCGCATGCTGTAATGCTTTTCAAACCGACTTCATTTAACCTCAGCATTAGTAATCAATACATTCTTGGACTACTAAGCTAACACGAGGTTGATGAAGATGTTTCTTCGGCTAATATTTCGACGTCTTCGTCTTCCCCAGAGCCAATTCTCGTCTTCCCAATCATTGGCTCTGAGGAAGACGAACACGTCGGAGCGTTAACCGAGTAGACGGCTTTACACTGTAATATTTCAGACAACTGAATGACACGAACGGAAAATAGGTATGTTCAACATTTATACAACAAACAGTAGTATACTAGAGCAAGTTTGCTTTACCGTCGTCCATATCGCTTCAAATAATTTATCATTTTAGTGCCTACCTTAAATTTCATCTTATTCCATTACTTTTCTGTAGCTCTGGTTCCATGAATCTACAAAGAAATCGTAGAATATATAGTTTGTACGCCTTTAATGCCCATCTGTTACATCGTAGAAACTAGAAAATGATTCTGTACCGCTATAAAACTTTTTAGCTGCCTTACCTATCACTTATTTATCTTTATATCTTTTTCACTTTTTTATCAACCTCGTTTTAGCTTAGTAATCCAGGAAGAGATTGCAGACAGAGAAGAGTCGTACAGCAGTCTTCGAGAGCTGTGCAATCACGAAGAAGCAACGTAGAGCACCGGAGGTGAAAGACGGACTTATTCTACCTGCTGTGACGAATTAAATGACATTTCCCACATGTATTCTAAGTAGGCGCAATTATGAACCGGTGCATAAAATAAAAAAATAGTGAAAATCGTATGAATAATGTGATACCACTCGCGTCTCTTAAATTAGCTGATCCCTCTTCTCAACGCGTTCTCGGAAGAAACAAATGAAGATTTTAGTGCAACATCCGGTCGAACTACACCAGTATTAATGGAATTGCAGATGATAGAATTAATTGCTATTTTAGAGGTAAAGTGCTTTATAATGTTAAGAACAATTGCATGCACTTCATAGAAATTACTTCCAGAGAACCAACGGTTCAAACCAATTTAGGCTCTGTTTATGCTTTTATATATATATATATATATATATATACATATATATAATGTTTAAAGGGCGCGTATGACGCGATGGCCAAAGGCACCTTGCGAGACACACATGGGATCGATTCCCGCACCCTTGGCTCACCAAGCCTTCCATCCCTCCGTTGTCGGCAAATTGCTACCAGACTTGTCTGAGAGAATAGCAGCACTGGCTCGATACATCGGTAGGCCACCGCGAGTCATTGTAAAGGCCAGACATGCATTCAACCACCTCCAAACGATGCTTAATGAAGTCGAATGCATGGCGCATCCCTCAGGGATTGCTCTAAGCCGAGAGCTTTATCCTTTTTTTACATGTTTGTATCTTGACTACTATATTTATACCGCAAGTCAACTCACACAGTGTCCTCTGAACACAGCTTGTATCTTTGTAGCCGCTTCATCTAGAGGGCTAGAACAACGATCTTCGCGACGGTCGTCATTGTACTAAGAGGATTCCGTTTAGAAAAACAGATACACTAATTAGTCGTACAAATCTTAACATAAGGACATCGAAAGAATAGATATACAAAAATTTGTGCTAAAGAGAATGTAAGAGAAGGAATAGCTCAACTAAAATCATAAAACGAACCCGTCTTTGCAAATCCGTCCGAAACATTTCATACGCTATTGGATCGCAAATGATATCAGTGTTAGGATTGCCTAAAATCACTGCCAAAATTTTCGGAATATGAACTACATTCCCTTTTCTGACAGATTTGATAAACACCAATATTTTATGACAATTTCAGATGATTTTTACCAGAAGCCCTTACAAGAAGAAGAAGCTTGCTGTAACTTGTACCGATAAGCTCAGGGATGGACTTTTCACCGATCTTTTTCAAACAACTGATGACCAGACGATTAGAGACGAATTGAGTGGCAAGTCTCCACATGGCGGGTAGAAATAGACAGAGTGGAATGTAAAACAAAAGCGACTTTACACTTTCCTTATGATGCAGGTGGATTCAGAATAGGAGAAAATATCTTTACTGCCTCTAGACTATGTTTTCCCTTCCGCACTACACGTAACCGTTTTTGTGCATAAGCGTGTGGATTCCTTTGCGTTCAGTTGGGTGGACACACGTCAATTTCATCAAGAGCCTTAGAAAGCCTCGAAAGGAGTTAGGGGCATGCACAGCGTTTCGTGTAAAAAGTGTAGTCTCAATCGTTTCGTTCGACATCAAGAAGCATACTAATAAACTCTGATTCTAGAGCACAACAAAAACGAATAAAGACTTAACTGCTACCCGCTTGAGTTATTCGATATTGTGGGTAATGCACATGACATACCTAACTATTAAGTTATGAGCGATAAAAACGGTTAACTGAAAACATTCCAGTGAAAAAAGTAACAAGAATAAATAACTTCATGATGAGAGGTAAGTGAAATTTCCTAACCAGTGGAAACGAACTAGAGTAATTTCTTAAATATTATAGCTTTGAAAGTACGGCATCTGCGAACTACAAAAATTTCTTTAGAAGACCGAAAAAAACTGTAGGGAAACCAATGTGTTTGAAGCCGAATAACATAGAAGAACACTGATAGAAAAGGAATTTTGGTTAAACTAATATAAGACATACGCAATTACGAGTACAGAAATGCCCAGTTTTGCAGAGCTCAGTAAGCTTGCTAGTCTCAAATTCCAATTTCAAAACTATATCAACAACAGTCGTAATGTTTCTACTCATTTCTTGTCTGTTGGCGCGTTCTGGATCCCAGTATTTTTCTTTAATGAGAATAAGCCGATCGGCGATTCATAAATTTGGATCAATCCACTAATGGCTAATTGACCACAAAAAACTGAAACAACAACAACAAAAGTAAATAGATACCATCAAGGAGGTCCTAGCACGATTTCCATTGTCATGTCATTCAGGATAAAATCTTCCTTGAGTTTGATCATGCTAACGACGTATTAACTATGACAAACTAAGATTCTAACACTGAAGTTACAACTCTGCTTTTAGAGGACTAGGCTGCAGTGCGACGTCGCAACGTTGGGATTGCCCAATAACGATTTACAGCGCCATGTTGTGGCGATAACGTATCACCGGGAATGGGAACAGACGAAGGAATTTTGATGAGTACCCATGTAAATGTCATCTAAATTCATCTGAAATCTCATCTCCCTTGCAAATTAAAACATTAGGAAATGAGAAAATAGCATATCAAGTTAGATGATTGTAAAGATATGGGGCATTGTTTGGAGCATACCACGACAAGCAAACAACTGCAGCATTCCACGTTCTAGGACAGAATGTTGGTTTCGATTCAATTGCCAGGAAAGACGCTGCACAGATTTTGCAACTCTTATGACCAAGGAAACAAATGGAAAACATCTTATCAAGGCTTCTTTGATCTCATTTTAATTGGAGACCGCTTGAATCAAGTTATTTTGACTGACTGTTCTCATGAGAATAGCGTAAAATACGTGTAAATGCACTATTCTACCTCATCACGACTTTTAATCCTGTTTACCATTTAGTAACAAGGAAGTGCAATGGTAAAATCGCTTTTCCTCTATGACGCGCAGTAGAGGTTTCCATTAAGCATGCTCTTGCTCGATGGACAATACGGACAATAAAAGTCTAATGCTTTCAGAATGACGCGCTATGCGGAGATACTGATGGTTAGCGTGAAGGTTCCACCGTAGCACGGGTTCACTGCTAATAGGAACTTCAGTACGAAATGTAGAATAAATTCTCAGCTTGGTTGACATTGCTGAGAGTGACTTTGCAGGAATTCACCCAGTAACGTCTCACGGACGACGAAACAGGAAACCGTCGGAAGACTGAATTATCTGTGTACGTTTCGTAACAAATTCATTTTTAGATGCTGCCTAACGGCTGCATTCCTAGGAAATGTTTAGAACCAATTTGTAAGATATTTCTACTGGCACTTCCTAGTAAGCAGTTCTGGTATGAAATATAAAAGTATCTTTAGTATTACTGTCAATTTTTGAATAAAATTACTTTTTCTGTGGTGCTGCAACTCATCAAAGAATAGTTGTGCAAATTGTATGACGTCTCGAGGTTGGGATCGCAGCGTCTCCCTAGCCAAAGCCTCAAGTAAGGGACGCAATCCCTCCGGTACTTTATATCGAATGCGAGCGTCCATCTCCTGAATCAAAGTGTATTATGTACCATTTATTTTGTAAATGTGACCATTAGACGAGTATGAAGACAACAAATGATTAACTTTTCGATATAAACTTGATTTCATAAAAAACAATACGCATTTTAAAGCCCAATGGGTACAAGATCAGGCTTAATAATTAGGTGTTGCATCTCCAACATGAGACCTTTACGAAGGGCATCAGTTGTTTCGTGTCATAGTTGCTTACATATTACATATATATACATATACATATGTACACTCATGTGTATACATCTTTTAGCATCCTCAGAAGCTTTCCCTTCCGTTGCTAACGGTTAAATGGAACTTCATTTCTTTACCAATCTGTAAAGAAACGTAACCGGTTTAAAAACATAAAACTTTCTACAGTCTCAAAATCGAATAAAATATTGCTAGACAGCTGATGCAACTAGACACTTGCTAGTTTTACCACAGGCTTTTTCATACTAGCTGGCAGAGCCTTGTCTTCAACATTTTAATCATCACAAAATTATAGTGAATGGAAGGAAAGATGGCGTAAGGGAGATGAAAAAGAATAGAGTAGGAAATTTGTATTTAGTAAGAGCAATGTGAAAAACAATATAGAAACAACACACATTTCTCTATAAGTGATCTGACAGCATTTAGCTGATTCGAATACGAAAATTCTACGAATGAAAAGGAAAAGAAGACGGCGTCTAAAGGCAGTGCATGAGATAGACACCTTGACATGGGATAGGATGACAGTTAGCAACAATACTATGGAAATTTCTTAGGGACACAATGAGATGGCTTCAATCCAACTGTTTTGCATCAGAACAAAGCTGATTGACATGAATGGAAAAACGAGGAGTTAAAGTAGGAGAACCAGTAAAAATGCTTTAGAAATTTTTGCTTCTCTCCTTAAACAAAGTAGACAAGGCGAATAGAATTACACGAGAATGAAAAAAAAGGTAAGAAGCCTTAAGATCACTGAATAGCATACAAAAAGAAAGAGCTTTAGAATCTAAGGTTATAAAAACGGATGACAAACTTCAAGCAAATCCACTCTTGTTCTGTGCGGTGTGAGATCTGTCGGGCACCAGAGCAAATGCATTGACGTTAAACAAACGTTCACTCAAAGAAAATCTTCGTCCATCACCAGATTCCTCTCATACAGTCAAACTAGTTGATTCAGTTGCTCTGTCACTCTGCAAATTCTCCAAGGAAAGAGAGGAAAAATGCTCATTAAACAGATGCCCAGTCCTTCCAAAACATTGCACTCGTGATTGTAATTAAAATACAGGAAGCATATTTGATTAGAAAACTTTGGAATGATTAAAACGACCAGTTTGAAATGAATTGGAAATGTTACATTTCCGTCCCTAAACATTAAAAAAAAGACATATTTTGGTATGGCTTTCACACACCTTTATGAATCATTTCTACTAATTACACTGTGATATTTTTCTTTAAACTCATTTAAAACTGAGGGATGTAACATTTTCAATTCTGTGGGACTTTTGGTAGGAGGGAAAAAGAACTAAGGAATGGATGGCAGTTCGATGGTGTGGAGTAGACTCGGTCTCATGTAAAAAACGTAGCTTGACATCTGCTGAACAACTGATTCAAAGACTTTGATGATTCGCAAGACCGACTTTCCGTTAAGGTCGGCATTGATCAATAATTCACTGCTTTTTTGACAAGCGCACACACGGTTGTTGCTATGCCAATTATTATTCAAAAAACCGATATTTCGGTGAATTTCGTCTCCTTCAAAGCTTGGAAAATTCAAGTTAATTGCAACCTAGACGACCAAACATTCCTATAACCTCAACAGAAAAACCACGACATCTAGATTTCAGCAGCACTGAAAGCAAAACAGCTTTTTCAAATAATCGCCGCTTTCCATGGGTCTTCCACTCATTTTTCCACATGGAGACCAATCGCAAAAGACACAGAAGAAATTCACATGGAAGGGTAATGCCGGCCTTCATGTTGAAATAACAGTCTGAGATATTGTGTGAGATCACGTGTGATAACGATATAATCCTTCCTGTAAGTCTTGTTTGGAATCCTGGAAGTTATCCAGAATGCTTCTAGGCCTTCATATTTTAAATTCCCGTGCGACGATGGTCTCTCTTCCCGTTATGTTTCTCTCTCCCATTTGCACCTGATGGAGTACTTCGTTTAACTTTACGTTACCGTTTAGGCGTTCTTTTATGCGGAAACAGAGTGGTCTACGTATTTGGCCACTATATTTGTCTCCAACAAATGCTTTACAAGAGATCAGGCACAGCGCTTCCAGACACTTTCGCCCTTGCATAGATGGTCATGCAGGAGGTTGCGAACCAGGGGGCGTCTCAGAGTGCTCGGTGGTATTTCAACCACTGTTATTGAATTCTCTAGACTAGCCATTGATAAGCAACATTTTGTAGTTCCACTTATTTCGTTTGAAATGAACGGCAGGATAATTGGGACCTTTTTCTCGCTTGTTTTGGGCATGGTTCCTCCTTTTAACTCGATTCTGACTAGGTGCTGTTTCGTAGCTTTTGCAAATGGTTATTTGCCGTGCCTATTTAAACGATTTTTCCTTCTGCTCTCTTCCTGTGTTCACGTGTGGCTGCCAAAAATTCGTTTCTCACAAGCGTCCTATTTGCCTGGATCGTCCACGTAGCATGCATACGTGTTGGGTGTTCTTCGACGTTACCGCTCTTTATAGAAACGTGTCGAATGAGTCCGCTTCGCAAGCGATCCTCGATCAGCATATACAACACGCAGGAGCAATAAACATGTACTGCTTCACAATTCAGCATTTGATGGCCCTCTTAAACGAGTGCCTAAACTGCTCAATCATCAGATGCTCCGGGAAGTACTACGCACAAATGAGAGGGTTGGCAATGGGACAGAAACTTGCACCAAGCTTTGTCACTGCAATAATGTCTAAAGTTGAATTCCCAATACTCGGCCTACGGCCATTACTCTACTGTAGATATATAGATAATTGCTTTGCCATCTGCTCAAAACAAAAAGAGATGCACAAACGTATTGAGCTATTGAGTGAACGGCCAGAAACCGAAGGAAAACTGTCTTCCATTCCAGAACGTTGAGATTAACCTATCTGAAATAGGTTAAAACACCAAGTGGTATTGAAAGTGAAATAACAAAAATATGGCAGTTCATTACCTCTCCTCTCACCCCTCACATACCAAAAGGGTGCTTACAAGAAATGTTTCGAACCGCCATCATCGTGAGCATAGGTAGGGAGAAGAGGGAAGAATCCTTGAAATTGGCGCGGCAAATACGCATTCCCAGTGGCTACGAAACGGTAGCTACTATGGATAGGTTAGGAGAAAGAGCCACGCTCCCAAACAACCGAGGAGAGGGCCCCGTTTATGCTGCCCTTCATTTCCATCGAGCTATAAAACGTTGCTTAAGAGGCGACGGTCAAGGGAAAGCAGTAGCAGTGAATGAAATACCACCGAACACTTTAAGACGCCAGCTAGTTGGTAACATTTATGTTATCGTTCACGAAAAACGCAAAGTTAAACAAAGTACTCCACTATGCTTGAATGGGAGGGAGAAACATAACAGAGAATAGTGACTATTCTTGCTCATGAATTTAAAACTTCAAAGTGTGAAATCTTAGAAGCCTTCTGGACAAATTCCAGGAACCCGAAAACGAGCTGCAAGTAGAAACAAGCTTCGTTATCAACCCGATTTCACACAATGTCTCAGACTGATATTTTAACGTGAGAGGGTAACATTACTTATCCATACGAACTTTGTACGGTTGGTCTCCACTTCAGAATACCCAGTTGAAAACTCACAGAAAGCGGTGAGTGTGTCAAGAAGATGTTTAATGCTTTCAGTGCGATTAAAACCTATATATTGTTCTTTTTCCGTTGAGGCTACGGATGGAAGTGGTTAAGTTAACGAGGTCGTAGTTAAGTTGACCTTCCCAGCCTCTGAAAATAACGATCAGCCGAATGGTCAGCTTTTGTTCATAAATAAACAGTATAGGTGATAATTATCTTTCTAGAAGTGCTAGCGCCTATATATTGGTAGCTGAAAGAAATTTAGAAAAGGAAAAATACAAAACAATTCAGAGCCCGATTAAACTGCGAAGACACTAGTGGCAAGTAAAATGGATTAGCGAGTTCAAACAATAACACAAAAAACACATCACATTGTCAGATACTTGGGCATTGATGAATACACGACGAAAATCTGTGTTTATTGAAGTGATGTCGAGCACTTTCGTATCGCCTACCTGCTATCTCAACCAGGAGTACCACTGCTCAGCGGTCACAGCCGTTTCAGGAACGCATCCATGTTCCAGACGAATGAACTCAAACAAAATTCGGAACTCGAGTCGATTTCATCAGCAAAAACGGTATCTACCAATAGTGAAACGCTGTTTTGAAGAATAGTTCAAGCGTATATCGAAGGAATCTAAACTGATCGAATTTGACTACTAAGAAAACAAATTAAGCAGTCAAAATGAGGATAGGAAAGAGGTGTTGGAGAGATTTCGTTTAAAAAAAAGTGAGATACTATTCTAAAAATGAAAATAACATCAGCGACTTGTTATTTGAGAATGCAGAAGGATCTCACTAGTTCACTAGTTCCTATTTTATAAAAAGAAAATGGGTCAATAATAAACTAAAATGGACTACTAATACTGAAAACGTTATTAAGCTCTTATAGTCAGTTGATGTCGTTGGGAATACTTCCCGAACACGAATAGTAATCGATATGGTAATAAACTAGACTGTCCAAATACAACACCAAAAATCTATTTAGGAAGATTAAAGGAGAAAACTCATAAGCAGAATCGGGCAAGAATTTCATAAAATTTTAGCGTTGGAAAAATAAAGTGCAGATGAGCATCTCGTGCCTTTTCGAGTCGTCGATAAGAATGAAAATATATTAACATGCAGTCAAACAAGAGCCGAACAGCGAGCCTTAGAAGACCTCGGTTAGTGGTTTAAAAGCCGATATGCTAAAACTCCATGCCATAA